TTTATGATAGCACTATCTTCAGAGATCAAAAGTAGTTCTGGAATATAAATTGTATATTTATTTGCTACTTACGAGTTGGTCACGTGACTAATCTTCAGCCTTCAACCTGCCATTCGGGTTTCTTGACTATTCGTCACCATTGTCCACGATGATCGCCAGAATGAGACATGACCAGACCACATGATACCTGTCGTTAAGTAATCACCATGCTTACTAAAAGGGAATTTTTTGATGGGTTTTTTAATTATCCTATTAAGATTCACTTTACTTAACAACGGTGTGCGCTTAGTTGGGAACACTATGCTAAACACGCTGCTAATAGAAATTATTTGGTAATTAACGTAAATTTGGCCAAAATTAGTCAACTTGTTAATGGGGGATAATTTGGTATGTTATGTTAAATTTGCTACCATTTTTGGTGGCCCACAAATTGGCCAGTAATGTCGGCTTTTGTACGCAAAAAGTAATAAATTACAGATTGCATTTAGAACTGACTGCTGCGCCCTTTTCTATGCAAACTGAAATAAACTTTACACGCTTAATTGCCAACCGATTATTGCTAATTGAATGGGCAATTGAGGCTGTCTTGATTTTAGAACTGTCTGAACTGCTAGCCAATGAATAAAAAGTGTGCAAAATGAATAGGACACACAATTCGCATATTTATAGCTTTCGCTGCGACCAAAATAGCTGATTGCTCGCTTAAACAGGTATCACTGATTACACACCCACTCGATGTCACGAAATGTCACCGACATTATCATTTAATTAGCACCTCGCTACCTCGATTAACCGTCTCTGTTTGTTTGCCCTCGTCGAAGAAATTAATATTGACGCAGTTTCGTAGAGATGAATTTGCCATCTTAAGCGGTTATATGCACTACAAATTTAATAATTTGCTTTTAGCTTCGCTGGTCTGGGCTCAAGATTTTGGATACGAAGGCAGACATGGACCCGAGCACTGGAGCGAGGATTACGCCCGCTGCAGTGGAAAGCACCAGAGTCCCATAAACATCGACCTGGTCAGCGCCGTGGAGAAGAAGTTTCCCAAGCTGGAATTTTTCAACTTCAAGGTGGTGCCGGACAATCTTCAGATGACCAACAATGGCCACACGGTGCTGGTGAAGATGAGTTACAATGAGGACGAGATCCCAAGTGTGCGTGGCGGTCCTCTGGCGGAGAAAACGCCTTTGGGCTACCAGTTCGAGCAGTTCCACTTTCACTGGGGCGAGAACGACACGATTGGCAGTGAGGATCTGATCAACAATCGTGCCTATCCCGCCGAGCTGCACGTGGTTTTGAGGAATCTCGAGTATCCGGACTTTGCCAGCGCCCTGGATAAGGATCATGGCATCGCCGTGATGGCCTTCTTCTTTCAGGTGAGAGCTGAGCTGGCAGTTTAAGAAACTATATCCTAACTTTATATACATTCCTTTAGGTGGGCGACAAATCAACTGGCGGCTATGAGGGCTTCACCAACTTGCTCGCCCAGATCGACCGCAAGGGCAAGAGCGTAAACATGACCAATCCACTGCCGTTGGGCGAATACATCACAAAGTCCGTGGAAAGCTACTTTAGCTACACGGGTTCTCTGACCACGCCACCTTGTAGCGAGGAAGTGACCTGGATTGATTTCACTACGCCCATTGACATTACGGAGAAGCAGGTGAATATTTCAATTACCATTTTAATGAAGCTCAAGTTAGTTTGCTGCTTTATAGGAAGCGATAAAGTAATATCTGTGTATTGACTTATATATTTCATATTTTTCCGCAGCTGAACGCCTTCCGTCTGCTGACAGCCAGCGATGATCATCTGAAGAACAACTTCCGACCCATCCAGCCACTGAACGATCGCACCTTGTACAAGAACTACATAGAGATTCCGATTCACAACATGGGCTCGATTCCACTCGTCGATGCGGAAAATGCGGCTGGCAAGTGGAGGCCCCAAAGCGATGCCGTGCTGTTGCCCCTTGTTGTCCTCGCTGCATTGTCAAGGACCTCCGTTTTCAGGGGTTTTTAATTAGAGTTCTGCGGTGGTAAATCGAAGGTTAAATCGTTAAATGCCTAGCAAGCGCTTAGGCGTCCAATTAAGCGCTGTAATTTACATTTTCCGCTCTTGTTCGCCGTCGCTGTTTGTTGTTCAAACACGAGTCCCGGTAATTTCCTTCGGCAAGGACTCTCCTGCCGTCAGGACATCCATTCACATCTACACACATATATATATAGACATATATATTTAGGGGCAAACACACAGCGGACGGTGGGCGAAATTATTAAACCCAAAATGGGCGGAGCTTCAGCTGGCACGGAACCCTTACTCATCAATTATGCAGCACCTCGCACAGCGACTGTCAACCGAATCGTACCCGTACCCGTATCCGTATCTACACCCTCACCCGTATCCGTATCCGTATCCGTACCCCCATCCGTCCGAGGAGACCCGCCAGTGCGAGGGGAACCCCCTGGATATCCTCGCTATTGCACATTGTGATTTTAAATGCTTGGCACAAGCAGAGCTTTTTATTCGTGTACCTTAGGCTTAAGTTTTGAAAACATAAATCCGTAATAAAATGTAATATTTGAATCACTTATGCTTGCGTTGTGGAATATTCAGCATCTGAAGTATACTTTTCGGCAAGGTTTGGATTTATATTTCAGCCTTCAGAAATTTGCCAAGTATTTTTAGATGAATTATTTTTTACAAACAAAGTTTTGTTTGCCTACTAGTGTATTTTATTTAGTGTCCGCGTTATTCATAATAATCATATCAAGCTGAGAGTCTTGTGCCGACTGATGACCTATTGACCCCACCTGTCAGCTGAATACCAGTGAATTATTGCAAGCATGTGCAGAAATCTATCAGCGAAATATCAGCTTTTGTATTCAAGTCGAAGAGTTCGTCTGGCGAAAGTAGACATGATTTATTCCACAGACTGGAGGCCGCAGTAGGAACTGTGGGGCCTTCCTAAAGTAAACTACATTATAGAGCATCAGATAGTGGAAAAAGTCAGGACCTTGTAGGCAGTACTTCTTCAAACGGATTGTTTGTCATTCGGTCCATTAAATGCCTAATAGCCTTGTCCTCTTCAACCTACGAACTTTACGTGTGATCCCTGCCTAAGTATAGAATAATTTGTGGCTTTTTGATGAGCTTATCATGGCTGTTTATTAATGTGATCGATCCGTGAAATTTGTTTCAAATTAAAAACAAGAGAGAACGCATTGTTCGAATTCCTTGACTATCAGATATTCGTTGCTTAGTCAGGGGCAGTGCATGAAAATTAATAAATAGACCCCCTAGTGATATTGATCACCCCTAACTTCTACCTGTTACAAACTCTTCAACGAGTCTAGCATGCCCCTTCACTCTACGAGTTACAGGTACAATAGCTTGCGTACAATGCAGTTCTATCTAGATGCGCTGCAAAAATAGCAATACCATAAATAATATTTACTGGCTTTCAACTCTCTCCGCCCGTGACTGCATTCGCCGGCACGTTTTTACTCAATTGATGACACCAGCATTGGCGCGAAATAAAAATATTATGAAACTTTTCCATTGCCGCCCAGCTTCCCCGATGTACAACATACGTACATATTCTAAGCGAAATGAATCGCTCCCCTATAGGTGATAAGGTTTATTGACAGCGATCGTTACAAACTGACCTTTGATGGTGACGAACGGCGATACTGCGCCTCGGGAAACTTGGAACAAGCCCCTCCGGCCCAGATCTATATGGAACACCATCCCCATCTCCATCACCATCCCCGTCTAAGTTTAGCCGTGATCAGTCCGCCCCTTCGTGGGCAGTGTGAAATCTCAGCTTGTAGTTCGCACTTGCGGCGTGTGTGAGTCCGGATCGGATCGAATCGGATCGGATCGCATCGACGTCATGTGGACGACTGATAACTTTTCTTTAGGCAATCCCCCCCTTGATGGCACATTAAGCTTCAGCTTGATGACTGTGTACCCAGATTGCGGGGACTTGTTGCTACTTTTAGACGTTCGGATGAGCGCTGGATCTGGAGCGTTGACTCTTGGCTATGGATTAGTCCGCCTTCCTGACGGTTGTTCAAGGTTAGACCGAGATCTATGGGAGGAAATTTTTCGGGGGCTAAAGGCGTGACTTTTGATCCAGGGGAGAAACGAGATTGCTCGAGATTCAAGCATCTGCAAAAGTCATCTTCAAATGCGTAACAGTGGGAAGACTCTCACCCAGTACATAAACACCTATCGAAGTAATTCAGTTAATCAGTAATCAGTGGCATAATTCTACCCCATTAACGTACAAGTTTCCCCTAGAATATATAATAGTATTTTCATAAAGATTTATGTGAGTCAACGCATCTAGCTAATTAGATTGGTGGGTCCCTTGAACCAATAGGCATTCTGAAGCCTCACTTTCATTTAAGTATGAACTGGGATAGAAAGTACTAAATATTTTTAAATAAACTTAGAGCAACGCACTGCCCGCTAATACTCTTATCGTTTCCAACATTTTAAAGCAATACATTCATGAGTCCTCGTGCAACGACCTTTACAATCAGTCTCGTAACTCAATGCCGTGGCCTTGCACTTGGTTCAGATATGGGATGTGGAGCAGATTCATTGTGGTACTTTTTTGTGGGCACCCTTTCCTTGTTATCAGTCAAGTGCAGCTTCCAGTTTTATGAATTAAGGCAGCAAATATGTAACGCAGCTCCAGATAAGTTGGCGTCGTGTAGGCGTCCCAGGCTCCCGATAATGGGGTAATGAAGCCAAGTGTTATATGGTAGTTAGATCATTTGAGCCCGGTTTCCGACGTAATATTGATAGTGATTGAAAGGGGCCGCACGGGAAGCGGGGCGAGCGACTCTCGTGTTTTGAAAAATAAGAAACATACTATAAATCATTTTCGAGTACACTTAGAATAGGACCGAGTGTACTATAGGGAATGCGATTGTGAATTTCCGATGGCCGGCGGACTATAAAAGTCTGAGATCTCTGCGTCCAGCGATTCAAAAGTGTTTCGTTCGCTCAAGTGAGCGGTTACTACCCACAAATAGTTTTCTTTTATACTTGTATTTATTATTAACATTAAATCTTCAAAATGAGAATCCTTGCGGAGGTAACGAAGTTCGGGATCGGTAATCGTTTTTGCAGTCGCTTATTCGCTTGTGAATTTAATCCATAGCACCATGTCCAACTCCTGGATCCTTCGGAGCTGATGCGCCCCGAGCCCTCATTTGCGGACAAGAATCCCTCCAAATTCCGGGACTACAGTGTGGACACCAGCGATCCCCTGAAGGAACGTGTGCGCCAGACTTATCGCCAGATGCATCTGAACCAGACTGTGGATTTCGTCAAGGGTGAGTGAGGAGCAGTCTAAACCTTATAATCTTGTTTGTTTTTAAGTTTGTTTTAAGAAAGATTGAAGTGTAAAAATGTGTGAAAGTACAATAAAAGTGTATATTTTTAAAATGATCAGATTAGCTAAATGGTTTCTAAACAATGCGAGCTATTTAATAAATGTTATTTTCAGTAGGAAAACCATTTTACTAAAAGATCCATCTTATTTTTAGGCCGTCGCGAGCACTGGCTGAAGTTCAACACGATTAGGATGACTGTGCGCGAAGCCCTGGAGAAGCTGAACGATCTGGTGGACGAATCGGATCCCGACCTGGATCTGCCCAACATTATCCACGCCTTCCAGGCTGCCGAGCGGGCACGCGCCGAGTTCCCGGAGCAGGATTGGCTGCATCTCACGGCGCTCATCCACGATCTGGGCAAGATCATGGCCTTCTACGGCGAGCCGCAGTGGGCAGTGGTGGGCGACACCTTCGCCGTGGGCTGCCGTTGGGGCGATAGCATTGTTTACCGGGAGGAGAGCTTCGAGGGGAATCCCGATGGTGATAATCCCGCCTACAATACCGAACTGGGCATCTATCAGCCCAACTGCGGAGTGGACAACCTGCTGATGTCCTGGGGTCACGATGAGTACATGTATTCCGTGCTGAAGCACAACAAGACCAAGCTGCCCCATGTAGCCTGCAACATCATTCGGTTCCATTCCTTTTATCCCTGGCACAATGGCGGCGACTACAAGCACCTGGAGGCTCCCCAGGATGCGGAGACCAAGAAGTGGGTGCTGATCTTCAAGTGAGTTCCGTATAAACACTAATATCTAGCCAGTTACATAAACATTCCGTTTTGCAGTCGCTATGATTTGTACACCAAGAGCGAGGTGGTTCCGGATATTGAAGCTTTGTGGCCATATTACCAGACCTTGATCGACAAATATTTACCCGGTGTCCTGGAATTCTAATCGTACTTACGTGCAACCTTTAGCTTTCTAATTGCTTTCACTTAATATATAAGACAACATTTATACCTGTAATATAATATAATGTGTATGCGCCATATATATCCCTAAATAATCCCCCTACTCCTTTCTTGATTGGGTAAAATTTGCTGGTGTATTGGCTGGAACAACTTGACTAGCGATTCTGATCAATTTTATTTACAATTTAGTCGGTTTTGTTTTGATAAAGGAGTGCATACTTTTTGGCAGGAATATTATTAATATCCTAAGAATTCACATTAGTAGTTGTAGTACTTCGAATTGTACAGTGAGTATTATTGTTGCTGAAATGTATACCTGATGTGGTTTAATTCTCATTTGGAAACATACAAAGGACAGAATACTACACATGTTCCAAAAGACGATACTTTCTGATAGTATTTTGTTTTCTAAATGTGCCTTCAACTTTTTTTAAAGGTAATTATGCATACCTTTCATCTTTTATTCATTTATGTATGTTATGAGACTCGATACTTAATAAGTATTTATTTAATATCAAAAATCCGACTCGTCTACTAAACGGTTTCATTTAAAGTGCATTATCAAGTCCATCTGAATAAACATCAAGTCACAAAAATTGCATGCATATAAAGTAATTAATCAAGTTGACGTGAAGCGATTGTGTAATAAAAGTGGGATCGGCAATTGCTTGGGATGCATGTCTCAAAAATAGATTAAGCGCAGTCAAATGTTTTAATCTAAATGTTACAAGCCTAATTTGTATACGGCTATCGTAGTGTAATAATTTTATTTCGTACACGCCTATCAAGTGGATGTCCACACAAGAGCTACTCCCATTTCCAAGCCGGCCATTGAAAACAAATCTCAAGGCGTGCCCAGATCTCAATTGAGACTGGTTGTTCAGGTGGCCGGGCGGCGATAAGCCAATCGACGGAATAAAAGGGGCTGCTGTTCTCCCATTTGAAGATAGTTGCGGTCTGAATTCGCCGGAGTGAGGATCAACATGAACTACGTGGGACTTATCATTGGGCTGAGCTGCCTTTGGCTCAGTGCGATCGCGAGTGATCCGGATGACCTGGTGTTGGTGCAGCTGCCCCAGGGAAAATTGCGCGGTCGCGATAATGGTAACTACTACAGCTACGAATCGATTCCCTACGCCGAACCGCCCATTGGTGATCTGCGACTCGAGGCTCCAGAGCCGTACAAACAGACGTGGTTGGATATCTTCGATGCCACCACAGCGCCGGTGGCATGCTTGCAGTGGGATCAGTTCACGACTGAGGACGACAAATTGGCGGGAGCCGAGGATTGCCTGACCGTCAGCGTCTACAAGCCGAAGAATAGCAGCAGGAACAGCTATCCGGTGGTGGCTCACATTCATGGAGGAGCCTTTATGTTCGGTGCAGCAGCACTGAATGGACACGAGAACGTGATGCGCGAGGGCAAATTCATACTGGTGAAGATAAGCTATCGCCTGGGGCCATTGGGTTTCGCGAGCACCGGCGATGCGGATCTGCCCGGAAACTATGGCCTGAAAGATCAACGGCTGGCTCTGGAATGGATTAGACAGAATATAGCCAGCTTTGGAGGAGAACCAGAGAACGTCGTGTTGGTTGGTCACTCGGCTGGAGGAGCTTCGGTCCATCTGCAGATGCTTCGTGAGGATTTCGGCCAGCTGGCCAAGGCGGCCATCTCGTTTAGCGGAAATGCTCTGGATCCCTGGGTTGTCCAGGAGGGCGGACGAGGACGAGCCTTTGAACTGGGTCGCATCGTGGGATGTGGTTTGGCCAAGGACTCGGCCAGCCTGAAGAAATGCCTAAAGACCAAGCCAGCCAGTGAATTAGTCACCGCCGTTCGTAACTTCCTGATATTTTCCTATGTGCCCTTTGCTCCATTTGGTCCCGTGGTGGAGCCATCGGATGTTCCAAAAGCCTTTCTCACCCAAAATCCCACCGATGTTATTAAGAGCGGAAAGTTCGGACAAGTTCCCTGGGCTGTTACCTACGTCACTGAGGATGGTGGCTACAATGCCGCCTTACTTTTAAATGAATGGAACAAGTACGGAAAATCTGGGACAGTCATCGAGGATCTGAACGATCGTTGGTTTGATTGGGCCCCCTATCTGCTGTTCTACCGGGACTCGAAGAAGACCATCGAGGATATAGACGATTACTCGCGGCAAATTAGGCAGCAATATTTGGGCAATCGGAGATTTGGCATCGAAAGCTATTGGGATTTACAGCAGCTGTTCACGGATATTCTCTTCAAGAACAGCACGCAGGACTCATTGGATCTTCATCGCAAATATGGAAAAAGTCCTGCCTACGCTTTTGTCTATGACAATCCAGCCGATACAGGAATCGCACATGCCCTGTCCAACCGCAAGGATATAGATTTTGGTAAGGAAATCGTACTTATAAATGGACTTAACTTAATATAACATTTACAGGAACTGTGCATGGTGACGACTACTTTTTGATATTCGAAAATTTCGTAAGAGATTTGGAATTGCGACCGGACGAGCAGCTAATTTCGAGAAACTTTATCAATATGCTGGCAGATTTTGCTTTGAGTGATAATGGCATTCTAAAATATGGTGAATGCGTTTTCAAAGATAATGTAGGCAGTGAGAAATTCGAGTTGTTATCTATTAGTAAGAATGGTTGCGAGAATAAGCAATATGTTGAATTTCCGTAAGTTACTTTAATAAAATAAAATGTTATTCGCTCTGTGTAATTTTTGTTAAGTTTGTGAATTCCTAACCGGCTTGAAAGGACATATATACAAAACTCGTTTGTATCAAAATATGTTTGTTCTGGGTGTGTTCATTTTATGCAGCTATAAAGAACCCTCCACGTTTATAAGACCGCAGTTTTTGTTCTGTGCCCTGTGGAGTTCCAGATTATGTATACACTCAAGCTGTTGTGCTTGACTTTGCTTTGGATAGCAGCCTCAGGATCTGAAGTTGTCCTACAAGCGGATCCATTGGTTGTTGAGATCCCAAATGGAAAAATTCAGGGCAGAGATAATGGCCAGTACTACAGCTACGAATCGATTCCCTATGCCGAGCCTCCAACTGGTGCTCTCCGTTTCGAGGCACCTCAGCAGTACAGTCATCATTGGACAGGCCTTTTCAATGCTACTCGGCCTCCAGTTGCCTGCTTACAATGGAACCAGTTTGAAACCAAAGACAATAAGCTGATGGGTAATGAAGACTGCTTAACGGTGAGCATCTATAAGCCAAAGAAACCCAGTGGGAGCAGGTTTCCTGTCGTGGTCCTTCTGCATGGAGGTGCTTTCATGTTCGGTGGTGGATCAGTATATGGACAGGATTACATTATGCGTGAGGGACAGTTGCTCTTGGTAAAAATAAGTTACCGCGTTGGACCATTGGGTTTTGCAAGCACCGGTGATAGGGACTTGCCGGGAAACAATGGCTTAAAGGATCAACGTCTGGCTCTACAATGGATCAAGAAGAACATTGCCCACTTTGGCGGCATGCCTGATAATATTGTGGTCATTGGTCACTCTGCAGGCGGTGCCTCGACTCACTTACAGCTCCTGCATGAGGACTTCGGCCAGTTGGCCAAGGGAGCAATTTCGGTGAGCGGCAATGCCCTGGATCCTTGGGTTATTCACAAGAGTGGACGACGACGTACATTTGAACTGGGTCGGATAGTCGGTTGTGGACAGACAAATGTCTCAGCAGAACTCAAGGACTGCTTAAAGTCTAAGCCGGCTAGCGAAATAGTCTCTGCTGTCCGAAGCTTCCTTGTGTTTTCCTATATGCCTTTCAGTGCTTTCGGACCTGTTGTGGAGCCAGCAGATGCCCCAGACGCCTTTCTTACCCAGGACCCAAGATATGTGATTAAGAGCGGAAAGTTTGCGCAAGTCCCTTGGGCTGTGACATACACCACCGAGGATGGAGGATACAACGCTGCTCAGCTGTTGGAAAGAAACAAAACCACCGGAGAGAGTTGGATTGACCTACTCAATGATCGATGGTTTGACTGGGCTCCATACATGCTTTTCTATCGGGACTCCAAGAAAACCATTAAGGATATGGATGATCTTTCATTTGATCTCAGGCAGCAGTATCTAGGAGATCGGCGATTCAGTGTGGAAAGTTATTGGGATGTGCAGCGAATGTTTACTGATATTCTCTTCAAGAATAGCGTGCCAAGCTCAATAGATCTTCACCGAAAGCATGGCAAAAGTCCGGTTTATTCATTTGTCTACGATAATCCTGCCGACTTCGGAGTGGGTCACTTGTTTTCCAATCGCACTGACGTAAATTTTGGTGCGTATATACTTGCGTTTAAAATATTATATGCTCTAACTTTTTCTTATTTTTTAAGGTACTGTACACGGAGACGACTTTTTCTTGATTTTTAATCCAGGTCTATTCCAAAAATACAAGCGTCCGGATGAAGAAGTTATTTCAAAAAAGTTTATAAAGATGCTGGAGGATTTCGCCCGTAACGATGAGGGAACATTGACATTCGGAGAGTGTATTTTTAGAAATAATGTGAACAGCGAAGAATACCAAGTGCAGCGAATTTCTCGGAACGCTTGTAAGAACGAACAATATGCTGAGTTTCCCTAAAGAATGTAAGCTGTATGTAAATGTATGCATGCAAGAAATGTGAACAGTGTAATAATATAATTAAAGAACAAATTTATTAAACCTTCATGCCGCCTCAATCGTCAGCGGTTCCTCAATCAGTTCGTCGTCTTCCTCCGGTTCATTTTCTTCACCCTGTACATTGCCGTACAGATCAATTTTGCTGTCTAGAAAGCGGAAATCTTTGAGGATGTGCAACTTGTTGCTGAAACCCGCAATGGACATTAATTTAATGGGCGATGTTTGCCAAACAGCAGAGTAGCAGGCAGTGTGCTCCACGGGAATATTGGCTTGCAGTTCTCCGTTTAGAGTGTAGGACTGCACATGATTGTGCTCTCCACCGATTAAGACACAGTCGTCCACAAAGTCACAAAGATGCACGCGTCCAGGGAAGTCAAAGACACGTGTGCACTCCAGGGATCGCAGGTGGAAAATTGATGCTTTGGGGCCACCACCGCAGAGCAGCCAATCCTCGTTGACAGCCACTGCTCCTATCCATTTGCCCCAATCCGGCCGCAAGAGATTTGGGTTCTTGTAAGGCTCCAGCATAGCAGTGTGCTCCTGCTGCTTGGTGCTCCACACTCGCACAGTGCCATCCTCGGCGCCAGAGAAGATCTGTCCCTTGGTATTGCCCACCACACTGTGTACGTAGTCTGTGTGTCCGCGGTACTCGCGCTGAATGCGTCCGTCCTCCAAACTCACTTGTAGGATCACTCCGTCGCCGCAGCCAGCGAGCAGAATGCTGTTTTCCGAGTCCAGCCACATGGAGTTCACATCCGGCACCTCGACGGCATCCACTTGCATCGGTATCTTTACCTCCCAGGAGCGTTTGGTGTCCAGGGTCTCCTCCTCCTCGTTCCATTTCAATCCGTAAATAAGACCCACTGCACCAACTATTAGGAAATCGCGATGGAAGACCAGGTAATTGATATCGACATCGCTGCCTTGCGGGAAGATCTTAAGCTTGCCAGGTGGCTCCTCGGAACCCTTGTCCAGTTCTTTTATTCTTTAAAATATAAGTAAAATAAAATAAGATAGGAAGGAAATTGCGCCAAATCAACGATTCTCACCTGAGTACGAAAATGTCGCCAAATAAATTGCCCGCAAATAGGTACTGATGGGAGGCGGATATTGCCTGTGCTAGGACATTATTGTAAGCGCGTTTCAGATCCTTTTGTTTCATATTTTTAGCTAATTTTATTATTTTAACCAAATTGTATCGCTTTGTTTACGCCGGCTATTTAGAGTGACCGTGTCTGAGCCATATACCAAAAATATTATATTCTATTTGAAAAATATACTGAAAAGCGCGTAAGCATATCACGTAGCATTTGTATTACATTAAATTTACGTGCAACCGTTAGCCAACGTAACGTTGATTTTGAATTTACGAAAGAACCTGTTTTCAATCATTCGAAATTTGTTTGTTTTTGAGGAAATACAACCAATTGTAAATTTACTTATCTGAGCAAAATCGTTCGCCGGTGATTGCAATTTGATTTCCTTATTAAAAATATTATTCTCCATGTGTCTGCTTCAAGTTATCGTATGTCACAAGTGCTTACCGTAAATGTTTATTTACGATTAATCTCATTAATTGTAAGCTGGACAGCCTTATGCGGCCTAAAATCGGAATTACTGCCTTAATCAGACATAAAGTTCGATGGCATTCCGCAAATTAAATATTTTTTTGCATTCACAGTGAGAGCAGGTCTTTAAGAAAGTCTGTGACCTTTCAAATAGGCGAAACACACGTTGACTAATCGCCCAAAAATATGAATTCCTGAACCCACCATGACGTTTAATATTGAATTAATAAATTGGATTGAAGTGAATCATCAGGTGATGGAAAAGCCTTCAATATGACGTCAATTTTGAAGAGATCTTTAAAATTGGAGAGCGTGCTTGTACCCATGTTTGCCTATAAGCAAATGCTGATTGCCCACTTATGATTGGAAAACAATAATAGGCAGCTTCGATTTAAATGGCTATCAACATCAGGTTTCCGTTGTTTACCAATCAAACATAACATAATTTACCTGGGCTTTTATTTACCTTATAAATTCTACGACTCTATGGCTTCATCAAGAATTCCATGCTGATGATTAGGAAATACAACAAATACAAAGCTTTTTCTTCTCGATTAAGATTGACCTAGTTGATGTTACACATAATGTTATACTATTACAATTAAATTTAGCTGCTAACTGCTCCCCGTTTAATTGAATTCACTCTCCTTTTAAATATTAAGATTAATACAGAAGTCACGTATTAACCTAATACAAATTCTAATGAGTGCTGATGATACACATTTTTCAGGCTGTTGTTCTCGGCCGTTCTAATCGTTCTAATTTATATGCAAATACCTATGGCTTATTAATGTCGAGACAGCCGATTTAAAATTAATTGTTTTGGCGCCACAAAGCTGTTCGAGTTGTCGCAGCATAATTCACATTCTAGATACAGCCCCCACCAAAAATAAAAAAAACATTCAAAATTCCCCGAATCCCACTAAGGCTTAGAATTTCGGAACTTCAGGTTGGGCGTTTGAAATGCGGTTTTCCGGCTTAATCAATTCCTTATCTGTGGCCAAAACATATCAAGTTTGTTAGGCGACTGTAGCTGCGCTTCATTTGGCAGCATATAAATGGCATGCAAATTTAATTTGACAACTTGACGTATTATGCCAAATCGAAACGAGACTCCAAGACGATTTGTTTTTTGACGACTTTCTTAGGTTTTTATTGGACCATTCGGATTGGCATTTCGCACGTGTTTTCTGGGAATTCCAGTGTGGTCGAATGTAGATAGATAGATAGATATTTTACAGTCTGGATTACTGGCGCCAAAAAGTTTCTTTCAATTTGAGTAACGGCCATCGAGCGATCAAGCGATCAAGCGATCAAACGATCATCTTTCTTTCTTTTTTCACCCGACTAATGATAAATGCCTTTGATGAATTTTAGCGAATTTTGTTTGCTACACAACAGCTTCGCGTCATGGGAGCTTGTTTTTGTGGCCCAGTATTTGGCTATTTTGGGAAATCCCCAAGAGCCATAAATTTCTTCTAAGCGGCTCTTTCTTCTTTCTTGCTATCTTATTTTTGTTTGCCACATTGCGGGGGGTTCTCTTCGCCACGCTTCTCGAAATTAAATTCGGTCCAACCGGATCTAGTTTGTCCAAAACTCTGGGCCTGGTCCCAATAGATCGGTAGCCCTCCGGAGGAAATGGAATCGTCGGGGGAGTGGAACTTTTACTGCCTGGCGAAAAGTGGTATGGCGACTACTGGTTCTACGCCGTTGCATATTAAAAGCTCATTCGGCGGGTTCTTATGCATTAATTATTTTCTGAAAACGAAACAAATGGTGTTAGCTGACGTCAACGGCCGATTTGATGTGCCCCTCTCGATACGCCAGTCAAGAATATTGGTCATTGCACTCTACATGCGCCTAATTAGACACCAGATCGATCCGATCTCGGCTTTCTACCTATGATATCTCGGAATCGGAATCAAAATCGGAATCGGAATTCCTTCAAGGTCAGCTACTTTCTCGGGCAAGGTAAGCAACATTTGTGGCGCCAGCGATGAAAGCCGCTGAACTTTTTGGTAAAAACAACACCTCTTTGGGTGTTCCCGGGCCCCAATTTGCATCAATTTACAACTCGGATTCCCGGTCGAGTAATTTAATATTTAATTGTCCAATAAATCTCGCCGGTTCTTGGGGTAATTTATTCAAAGCATTTGAAGAAAAATGAAATATGCATTCGATCGTCGGGTGGCACTAAAAACTCAAATTGGCCCCAAAAAGCCAGAAAGTAAAGTTTTATTCGAACCTGTTCTATAAACTTTGACGATGTGCTGAAAACTAATTGGTAGATTAGCCTGTCCATCAATAAAAGGCACCTCCCCGAACGGGAAGTTATACTCATATATGTATTTATATGTCCTACACGTGCTGTTCTTGGCCTTTTAAGGGATGATCCGCATCAAAATCAAGGAATATAATGCCTCAAGTAGCAAGTGCTTCGCACCTTCATGTCCAATTAACTTTATTAGTGTTTGTATATTTATAAACTTGAACTTGCCAATGAGTAGTGCAAACATTACGGTCGTGAGGGTCCAAAAATCCCCGACTTTAGGTTGCTCTAGGTTATATATTCCTCAAAAAGTAATTACTTGGATCGCTTGGATATACTCCTTATAAAACATTAGATTAACAATTCATTGACGTACTGCATTCCGTTGAAAAACAAAGCCATTCGCTGTTTGTTTTTACAATTCGGCTGCTAATCAAGTAAATAAAATTAAGGCGATCGCTAATCTCCGGTGTTTTGATTAACAGCCCGAAAACCACTGGCGCCAAGCAAATTAACTCCCATTTTAAATATTTGATTCCATTGGGACTTACGGAGTTTTTGCGCAGATCCAAAAGAAAACAGGAAAATGCTAAGAAAACCTTAAACAATAACATTGATTGAGTCAGCATTGTTGTGATTTTGATCTGGAGCGTAATCTACATATTAATTTTGTTTATAATAAAGAATCAACAAACTTGATTCATCGCCGTTCTCCCGAAATTTGGCCAAAAGTTTCGCTTGGAATTAGCAACAATTTTTGGACTTTGAGGCGTAAATGAATAACTTATTTGAGACGAACTCTTATGGCGCCACTGAATCAGAAAATAAATATTTCGGAGTCCCCCGTTGTTTACGGATCACAAAAATGCCAATGGAGATGGAGATGGAAATGCGCAAAAGCAACTTTCATAAATCCAAAAAAATTCCATCTTTCCAGTTGAATGAAACATTTCCAACTGAGTTTCTGAATTCTTTGGCAATTGCCAAAAGCCAAAGGAAAACGCAAAACGAGTCTTCTAGTGAGAATTCCACTAAAGTTTATACATAATAAATTCGTATTTGTCACCACAAAATTCAATCCACCAAAAGGGTATACCTGTTCTATTCTCCGCCAACTTGGCTTTTATCTCGATTTTCTCTCGCCCAAAAATTATGAAATTCGTGGAAACCTCTTCAGAGTGTTGAAATAATTCATAGCTGGATAGACATAATCTCATATTTCGGGATAGACGCAATCAAAAAAGCCCAATTCCACTTCCGTTTCCCATTCGAAATTTGAACTTTGCTCCAGCTAGGCGCGCCAAATGAAAATCGGCCGACTATCTCAGATTCGGAGATTCCAGCCAGCGTTATAAACGAGATTTTACGACCAGCTTGCTGTCATAACAACAGGCTACTGGAGAAGCGTCTGCCGATCTGATCTGTCCAGTTCGGAGCGGCGGCGATAGCCGGCGAAATATGTATATTTTCGCTGAGCGCGAGCGACGAGGTATAAAATATCACGGCTCCATCAGAATGGATTTAGATTGAAGCGAACATTCAAAGCGCGCAGAACCCAGAGAAACGCAAAAATCGTCATAAAAGAACCCGAAAAGACGAGATTTCAAGATTCGCCAAACGAGACAGATTCAGTGAGAACAAAAGTGCAGTAAAGATTCGAAAACAGAAACGCAAAATGAACCACAACAGCATAGCCCACCTGCTGGGATTGGGAATGGTCCTGTTAATGATGTGGAAGCCCACACCCACGGCAAGCTACGCAGTGGGACAGTTGAAGTACGGGAGGATCGAGAAGTTCCCCTACCAGGTGATGCTCATCGGAAAGCAGCTGTGGCGCAAACGGATTCTGTGCGGCGGCACTCTGCTGGACAGGCGTTGGATCCTAACAGCTGGCCATTGCACCATGGGCGTGACGCACTTCGATGTGTATCTGGGCACCAAGAGCGTGGAGGATGTGGAGCAGTCGGGCGGATTGGTGCTGCGTTCCAGCAAGTTCATCGTCCACGAGCGATTCAGTCCGGAGACGGCGGCCAATGACATTGCCTTGGTCAAGCTGCCGCAGGATGTGGCATTCACGTCACGGATTCAGCCCGCCTCGCTGCCAAGCAGATATCGACATGAGCAGTTCGCGGGCATGAGCGTGGTGGCCAGTGGATGGGGCGCCATGGTGGAGATGACCAACTCGGACTTGATGCAGTACACCGAGCTGAGTGTGATCTCGAATGCGGAGTGCGCCCAGGAGTACGATGTGGTCACGGCGGGAGTGATCTGTGCCAAGGGTCTGAAGGATGAGACAGTGTGCACTGGTGACTCTGGCGGTCCTCTCGTCTTGAAGGACACCCAGATGGTGGTGGGCATAACCAGTTTCGGACCCGCCGATGGATGCGAAACCAACATTCCCGGCGGATTCACCCGCGTGACGCACTATCTGGACTGGATCGAGAGCAAGATTGGTGGCCATAGCCCGGCACATCAGCAGTACCAACAGCCACATCAGCATCACCATCAGTACAGTGATAACAATCTCATTTAAGATGTCTCCCTGGGGATCAACCCACCACTGACTGAATCTTTATAGCTTTATGTTTTTAAAGAAATTCTCCAATCTTGTGATATCTCGTAGCTCTCATTGTTGATAGCTTTAACTATTTAATCATCTATATTTATTTTAGTTGTAAGAGTGGCAGCGGCAGATGCAAATCAAGCCGCAAACAAAAGGAGAGCAACAAATGTTTGCGAAATATAGAGAAATTGTATACGCAGAAATAAAAACAAAAATCAAACAAAAAATGAAACCTGACTCGGCTTTTCTGTCTGTTTAGTCATGCTGATTTTTGTGGAATTGGAATTCCCGCATTTCGGAGGGATCTGAGATCTCGAGCGATAAAAGTGATAATTTCTGAGTGGTTAACTGTTCCGTTTTCTATCCACATTGTTAGCTTGGGGTTTTCTGAACCCCCTCCTGCTGAGATCTTTACATAATTTAGCAAGCCCACTATTATGGGGCATCTGCTGAAGACCACTTACTTTACATAATATTTCGGTGTTGACTTTACACTTGACTCGATCTTCAAGGACTTGAACCCACTCCAGTTGGATGCGGAGCTCCACACGATGACGTCTGGTATTTAGTTCCGTGACGGATGGACGATTCTATTACTACCAGTTTCGAGAGGAGATTGGAGAGGAGCAGTCCGATATTAACAAGATTTTCATTTGTTCGAATTGTGTCAGTTCTATTTTGCGTTCACAGCGAAGTTCGTGACGCACTCTTTCAGTGGACGAAGATTTCTTTCGATGGCAGATTTATCAAAAATTGATATCATCTTATGGCCCGAAATACTTCTGATTTAACTGGGCTCAGAAACAAATCCCCAACGGATTTCAATGGCTCTTGTAGCAGTAGATCAATTAATCCGAAGACTCGCTCTGATTTAAATTCGCCACCAAGCCATATAATTTATTATGACTCGAGCAGTTTATCGGGTGCAACTTGTTAATGTTTAGCAAAGATATATTCACAGAATTTGGAAAGTGCCTCAATAAAATTCTTCTTCGCCGTTTAACCATAAATAAGTAAATGGACGAGTCTCATAAGCATCTATAAAACTCCTTATACAGCAGCAATTAATCAGTATTCGTTCACTACGAAAATCCCCATGTAAATGAGATATTTGGCAAGGTATTTTAGATACGAGGTTAAGTTTGTTCTACTGGACTCCCACAACATTTAAATGCTGATAGCAAACTGGTTCAGTAAACAAAATGGTCTTGTAGTTTTCGATAATAAATCACGTGGCACTCACAGCATTCAAGGCAAATGTTTTCGAATGTTTTCCTTTCGAGCACACGCGCCCTTGGATCATTCAATTAGTTTATGAATAATTAGCAATATTAAAACCCTAAATCGTGCCTAGTCGAGATTAGCATTTTATGGAATAGCTGGGAAAATGCTTACTATCAAATTACAGTCATTACTCAATTAATTATCAGCATTTTATGATCTCCCAGGCAAAACGATCGAAGGGTACAAAAGTTGTTTCTAAACATTCCATTTGTATGTGTAAATTTATTTAAAGCACTAGATCAATTATTGCTTGCAATTGATTGAAGAATAATGCCATTAAATATGGGTAACATAATATAGATTTAGACTAATTTATTTGGTGTTTCGCTTTCATTTGTGCTCAGCTCTGAGATTGTGTGATTCGCTCTAAAAAGTGCACTGAAAATGTTGACTTTGGTACCGGTTTCCAAATGGATGAGTATTCAACTAGCACTGGGCGGCGTTCTGCTGCTTTTTCTTCAGCACACAGTCAATGGCCTGGACGACTTCCAGAAAGATATCGTCCACGTCACGCTCGGCATTGATCTGTGATTAAAATTGAACAGTGCTAATTACTAGGGGACTTTTCCATATTAAGTATAATACTCACCGTCAGGGTCTTGGGCTCGTAACATTCCAGGATAGCATTGGTATTCTGCCGGAAGGTCAGGAGGCGAGCCCTAATGGTCTTCTCGTTGTCATCGTCCCGTTTCACAGACGAAGCTGCGGCACGAGCCATGATGCGCTGCACCATCGTGTCCTCGGAGCACTCAAAGTACAGCGCCAGATCGGCGGGAGCAACGCGCAACTCGAACTCAATGCCCTGGTTCTTCTCCCGCGGATATCCATCGATGAGGAATCCCTTCGAGCTGCCCTTGGCCCGCACGATGGCGTCGTTCAGCAGGGACAGCACCTCGTCGTTGGACACCAAGCCACCGCTGGCCATGACCGCCTGCAGCTTGCGACCCTTGTCCGATCCAGAAGCCACCTACAACATTGAGGTATATTAGAAATTGCGGAAGTAAAAGTAAATCAAATGGTATACATTATTAATATGGTAATTATCCCATTTTAAACATGAAACAATTACAATTCAAAGCTGAATAAACTTGAAATAGTTATAGGCAATAAAAGCTTCCTTTGAATGCGAAGTTAAACACACAAACGTGCTATAAATACGAAGCTGTAATTATCTCGATAGTTTGTTTAGGGCAATAACAAATAGCAATGAATGTACACCGATCCAAATAAAATCATTTTCCAGAATCGCAATACACCCTTGCCATCTGCAAGCAGCAGATAGCCCGACTATTCCAGTGTTTCCGCCTTAATTACCTCATTGCGCAGCAAGTCGCCGCTGCTCAGATGTGTGAATCCGTATTTTTCCACGATTTTGGCGCACTGAGTGCCCTTGCCGCACCCAGGTCCGCCCAAGATCCAGATGATGGGGATTTCAGCCTGTAAGGACAAGATGTGGGTTAGCAGGCACACAACACCGAGGCATAGAAACATCTAAAATTAGCTGGTTTAGTGGTAACACGTACGCAAGCTTAGTTGGATTAAGGGGCGTGGATATTTTGGGGTACAAAAGAGGTTTTTTCAATTTTCAATATTCTCGGATCGAAAAACGTTTGTTTTTGGTGAAGCGGCGGCCAGACAGATAACATGCCATACTACTAATCCTAGAAGTAGGATATAGTGCCCAGTGACTCGGATCCGATCCAGATGGGCTACTTACAGCGGCTCGTGCCCTACGGAGCTCCTCAGCTTTGAGCTTCTCCTCGGCCTCCTTCTTCATAACCTTTTGGTGACACATAAATAACTACACAATCGAGACAGTTGGTGAGGACGGTTAGATATCTCAGACTCATAGTGTTATTGAACTACATCCGATATGTATTTGGCTTTGGTTAATATGTATGTAGTCATTAGTAGTTTTGGGCACTTTGCCAGCGCAAAATAGTGTTCTTGCTACAAAAATGGGAACTTTACGAGTATGTAGGTTATAAATATTACATTGGCCCCCGACATTGATCTTGAACGGCAACCACTGCGTCACACATATCATTCCTATTTGGGGCAATTCGGGGCAATTGGCACCTCTACTCCATTCACACAAATGGTATTGATAATGGCTCGATCTCATCAACAAATATCTAGATAAGTGTAAACAATGGCATCGTTCCCGTGACCATATAGATATAGCGTGTGTGCAGATCAGAATTTGATATAGTATTTAGAAGGCGATTTCGCCTGTTCCGCATTGTCGCACCCGTCGAAAAATGGGGTAAAAAAATGAAAATAGAATCTAGAAAATGAATGAATTCGGATTCGGACAGCTTGATAATGCTCAGGTTATTTGCTGGCACCTATAGATTTTTCGATTTTTCTCAGAGCATAAGCCCAGTGCTTTTCCGTTTCTCAGATGTTGTTTTTCACCGACTTTTCTTATGGCACATTTCTACGCACTTATATTGTTGCGTGCGAGAATTTATGATTTTCAAGCTCATTTACGTAATTCCTCTTCATATGTCTATAGATTGTGTGGTTCAGTGACTTTTCAATGTCATTTCCAAGGATTCCCCGTGGTTAATAATTTAGAACTAACCTTTACATGGTGATTTAACAAGTGTGCAGGTTCCCAAATACTTAAATATAATTATAGAACAATTCTGTTCAGCTAATTCACGTGGATTTTCATGAAACTCGGCTTAATATATATCTTTAGGAAGGTTTTTCATTGCATATTTATTAATTTATTTAATTTGTTTAATGATTTTGCATTCGGAACTATCCTTCACACGCTAATTATATATAATTATATAATTCTAGCAATAACTGCACACATTCCTTCCGCTCAAACGGAACTAAAAACTATCCAGCAAACCTAGAGGAATTTTTATGGAACCCGCCTCTTGATCTCTTTTATGGGTGTCTTTATTTTTTCTTTGTTTTGACAAATTAATAATGCGACGCGACCAAGACTAAAAACCGGCATGACTGTCTAGTTCGAGTAGCGCCAATAAACACATTTAAACTGCTTTTTGGCGACGAGGCTGGGGACTTGTTAATGAATCAAGCCCCGCCAGAAATTCCTGTGTGCCGAACAACTGGTCATAAATTTATTCAAATCGAGATTTTGACGTCAAAATTCGTTCGAGCTTGGAATGTGAAATTTCGGTTTTTATTTTTGTTTGTTTCTATCAGATGCTAATTTGTTTCGTCCGGGCAGGGAATTTCACAGATTCGTAATCGTCGGACTGAGGAGAGGCTCTATTTATACCAGAGCAGTAAACATGGAACAGCTGACCGACCCAAGACATCATCCCCATTCTCGGCTTGAAAAGCTGAGTGAGCTAGCTTGTGGGCCCCCAGAGTTTCTTGATTGCATCGCAGGGCTGCGAGGTCAAGTGCAATGCAAGTGGCTCAAGGTCGATGGGACCCCCCCGAGTTCCCAATTTCAAGCCGTAGCCGTAACTTTCCCGGTTGGAGTGCAAGGCCGATTTAAATCAGTAGTGAAACATTTGGGTTGTGTGGGTTACAAACAAATAAAAATAAATTGGGCATTAAGCAGAAACGAAAACACAAATCACAGCGCCCGCACTGAAACACTCACCATGATGATGATGATGTATACTAGATATACACGTCGCTGCTGCGGGACTTTGGCTGAAGAAATCGCGAGATATTCGGTGGTGTGATAACCGGATGCCTTACTAGCCTTAGCCTTAGTAGCCTGCCTTCCTTAGCGCCACTTGGTCGGTCGATTCTCGTCCAGATTCTCGACTGCTCCGCCCGACGATTTTCCACCCACCCTGTGTGTTGCGTGAGTTGAGAGTGACTGAGTGATTCCGATTCGTTTCGATCCGATTCGGCTAACGGTTTCACTGCGCATAGACACGCGAGCTTTGCTCCAAAGCTTTTCGCCTACCAGTGCTTTTGTTTTGGCCGTTCCGCCTGTAACCCGAACTTTTCAATTCAAATTTTGAGTACAATATCGTAGGTGGTCCAGACCATTAGTCCATGTAGTCCTGATCAAGTTCGAGTTCGATCTATCGTAATACATCAAGTTTGATTAATGCCACTTGCAGGTTTACTGGGCGGTTACCTTGTTCCTTATATACCCTTTCTGGCGTTAGTTCTGTGTATGAGCTCATTTTGATTCAGTTGGTAGGTGGTTGATTCGTAGGTGGTGTTCTCCGGGTCACTAGTCCATGTAGTCCTGATCAAGTTCGAGTTCGATCTATCGTAATACATCAAGTTTGATTAATGTCACTTGCAGGTTTACTGGGCGTTTACCTTGTTCCTTATATACCCTTTCTGGCGTTAGTTCTGTGTATGAGCTCATTTTGATTCAGTTGGTAGGTGGTTGATTCGTAGGTGGTGTTCTCCGGGTCACTAGTCCATGTAGTCCTGATCAAGTTCGAGTTCGATCTATCGTAATACATCAAGTTTGATTAATGTCACTTGCAGGTTTACTGGGCGGTTACCTTGTTCCTTATATACCCTTTCTGGCGTTAGTTCTGTGTATGAGCTCATTTTGATTCAGTTGGTAGGTGGTTGATTCGTAGGTGGTGTTCTCCGGGTCACTAGTCCATGTAGTCCTGATCAAGTTCGAGTTCGATCTATCGTAATACATCAAGTTTGATTAATGTCACTTGCAGGTTTACTGGGCGGTTACCTTGTTCCTTATATACCCTTTCTGGCGTTAGTTCTGTGTATGAGCTCATTTTGATTCAGTTGGTAGGTGGTTGATTCGTAGGTGGTGTTCTCCGGGTCACTAGTCCATGTAGTCCTGATCAAGTTCGAGTTCGATCTATCGTAATACATCAAGTTTGATTAATGTCACTTGCAGGTTTACTGGGCGGTTACCTTGTTCCTTATATACCCTTTCTGGCGTTAGTTCTGTGTATGAGCTCATTTTGATTCAGTTGGTAGGTGGTTGATTCGTAGGTGGTGTTCTCCGGGTCACTAGTCCATGTAGTCCTGATCAAGTTCGAGTTCGATCTATCGTAATACATCAAGTTTGATTAATGTCACTTGCAGGTTTACTGGGCGTTTACCTTGTTCCTTATATACCCTTTCTGGCGTTAGTTCTGTGTATGAGCTCATTTTGATTCAGTTGGTAGGTGGTTGATTCGTAGGTGGTGTTCTCCGGGTCACTAGTCCATGTAGTCCTGATCAAGTTCGAGTTCGATCTATCGTAATACATCAAGTTTGATTAATGTCACTTGCAGGTTTACTGGGCGGTTACCTTGTTCCTTATATACCCTTTCTGGCGTTAGTTCTGTGTATGAGCTCATTTTGATTCAGTTGCTAGGTGGTTGATTCGTAGGTGGTGTTCTCCGGGTCACTAGTCCATGTAGTCCTGATCAAGTTCGAGTTCGATCTATCGTAATACATCAAGTTTGATTAATGTCACTTGCAGGTTTACTGGGCGGTTACCTTGTTCCTTATATACCCTTTCTGGCGTTAGTTCTGTGTATGAGCTCATTTTGATTCAGTTGGTAGGTGGTTGATTCGTAGGTGGTGTTCTCCGGGTCACTAGTCCATGTAGTCCTGATCAAGTTCGAGTTCGATCTATCGTAATACATCAAGTTTGATTAATGTCACTTGCAGGTTTACTGGGCGGTTACCTTGTTCCTTATATACTCTTTCTGGCGTTAGTTCTGTGTATGAGCTCATTTCGATTCAGTTGGTATATGGCGTGCTAGCAGCCTTTCGCTTAAGTTAAGTATCTAATGCACTAGCGTGATATTTCCATGCGTTGCTGACGCTTAACGATCATATCCATGTTTAACTGGATTTCCTGAAACATTGTGTCCGGCTCTTGGCTAGCGTCGATTTTCAAAGTGGCCTGCGGGTATCTTTCCAGAACCGCTTTAGAGCTCTCTATGTACATTGCTAGACTTGGACGCGCAGCGACACTGGATGAACTGCGACTACTTCCGGCTTTCTGATCCAAATCCAGCGCAATAATTAAGTTCGGCGACCCGAAGCCATCCTCCAATATTTCGGCCTCCTCCAAATCGGCGGGGTATCTGAAAAGAGGTATATAGATTATTTTGTGTCAAAATTCTGGCTTCACTTACCCATCAATGACGAAGCCCTTGAGTACACCACGATGGCTCATCAACTGTTTTTCAATCAAGGGTACAATTTGTGGCAAGGGTATTGGAGTTCCTGCTGTTATGAATTTTGCAAAGTTATCGCCAGCAGGGCTATTCGTGGCTATCTGCATTTAGTAGTTATAAGCAAATATCCCCTAAGATGTTGTTTTTGATTACCTCCATTTCGATCAATGCGATGGGGTCTATATGCTTGAAGCCATACTGCTTCTCAATTTTCTGGGCCTGAGTTCCTTTGCCGCTGCCCGGACCGCCCATTATCCACACCATAGGAACCTCCTGTAACATACATATGTGCATTAGATTTATGCTGTAGGGTATTATGAACACCTACCATAGCTGAGCACAAATTTTTCAAAAACAATGCCTTAATATCAATACAAAAATAAACTGTTTCGGTAGGAATTTGGATATTTTGACAAGTTTTGCTCGTACTTTGTTATTTTCGTGCCTGCATTCTTTATAAACAATGCCTGGTAAATAAAATAAACTTTTCGAGCTTTTAAAATATTAACACGTACAATTTATTAAGGTGGCACATCCGCAGTATGGGCAATCATCAACCAATATAGTACAGAAAGGCCTGTATCTGCTTGGATTCGCTTACGGAAATGACGAGTAATGGGGCGGTGCGAAGATTTTGTTGTTTAATCTTGGAGATTTCGTCATGGGTGGGAAACGCCGCCTGTGATGGCAGTATGATTACATTAAAGTTGGGCGTTTTGGGGTCACTTTTTCTGAAGCCCTTATTGTGCAGATGTAGATCAAAGATTATTTTTAAGGCAGAGGGAGTCTCTAATTCTTCTTTGGTATAATCTTGGCTTTTAAGTTGTACCAATTCGAACTTTTCAAAGATCTCTTCGAATTTGGCATAGCTAAATTCGGATTTAAGTTGATCCACTAAACTTCGACCCGGTATGGAAATCTTTTCTTTTTTACTGACGGGTTCTTCAATTGGGCTTTCTTCAGCCATACGTTTTCGTTGTCCGAATTTCAAATCAATGGGCTCTATCACGATATCAGGGTCTTCTATCTTTTGAGATGTTATACGTTCTTTCATTTCTTCCATGCGCTTTTCTGCGATGTGATAAAATGGTGTATTTCTAATATGATCAGGTACTGGTTGATCTGCCACTTTTTCTTTTAGCAGGGCCCAAATACAATCTGCACTTGTAATTTCTTGGGGAATTTCCTGAGGAGGTACATGTTTAACGACGATATAGCCAGATCGGCATAAAGCCGAGTAAACTAGGTAGTTTGTGTACCTTTCGCTTTCCAACTCGCCCAGGAGGAGCACATAAGCTTGCTCGATTGAAACTACTGAGCCGTAATATTCCAGTTGTAAGCGTCCCTAAAAGTATGTTCTATATATGTATATGGTTGGAATATAAAGCGCAATTTTGAGTCTTACAACTTCTAGTAGGAACATTGCTTCATAGTACTCCAAGTACAGCTTTCCCTGCTCGCTGTACCCGAAATTTTCGAATTTACCATCTTTGCGTATGACTTCGGCCACTTGTTGCTCTTCGTTCCAAATGGCAAGGGCCCTTCCTCCAAGTCTTTCTATCCGCGGCACTGACAATTGGGCTCGCAAATATTCTAAAATGTTATCAGCATTTACTTATATATATGGATTTGCAATATTTATAACCAATTCTAACCCTGCGCTCGCTTAAGCTCCTCAAGTTCCGATGCAGTTCCCTCATTTTGGGTTCGTTTTAGACCTCCACTCGCAGGTTCGAACTCAGTGTGACGATGAGCAATGAGCTCCTGGGCACTGGAATTACTTGATTTGAAGCTTAGGTAATGCAATCTCAGTCAGGAGTTACCTTAAATAGCTATTTCTTGGATGAATTTCCACAAATTCCGAATTTTGTGTTTTGGCGTCCATGTCAGAGTGACCAAAGCTAGACCGCTTAAATATACCATCAAGTACCAGCTTACCGATTTCTAACCTGTTACCGATGAATCGATACTTTTGGCGGGTTGTCATCGTATTTGAATTTTTGACTGGAACTATAATTTTTGGACAACTCGCAGAAAGGAATAAGTATACAAGTATTCTCTATTTATAAATCTTTATTCTTTGTATAATTGTAGTTTTGTTAGTTTCGCATAACATACGCTTAACATTTCTTGCCCTCTCATGCAATGGAGCTTGTCGCAATCTCGAACTCGTTTTAATTGATGTCGTATAACATTTTACACCTTGAAAATACACTTATTGTTAGATTTATGAACATTTAATACACCACATTGTTGCTTTTAACTCTTATGCTGTTAACATTTCCTCATCGACTCGACAATTTCAACTTCACGTATATTGCAGGATATTTCTAGTTGGCTTTCTTTGTTTCTTCGGTTTCTGGCTACACCGCAAATGTTTTTTAAACTCTGAACTGCGAAACGACCCCTGCTGTTTCTGTTTCTGCTGTTGTAAAAACTTAAATACAAAAATTATACACTATAACTAACCGTACATTGTATATTGTTTATCATTATGTATATGTACCTATAACTGATTTATATGTATGCGTCGTGTATTGTATAAACAGTTTCTCCATAGTATTGGTTGCTCCTTTAATTTGTCCTTTGTTAATGCCCTCGAATTGTTAACATTGTTCACCACATTTGTATTATACATATGCATACATATATCCGTAAATGCTTTAGTTATTATCATCTACATATATGCATAGATATATTTCTGTTTCGAATGCGTAACGCTTTAAGGTAATATTTTATCTGCCTGCTGATAGGTCGTTTCATTATATCCCCCCCGAACCACCGCACCCCACACATATTAAATGGAAATAATAGTCGTCTCAGGTAAAAGTAGGGAAAACTTAATAATACTCTCCCCCTTGACATGAATATCTACACTTATGTACAGGACAAAAAAAGACCGCTTAGACTATGGCCACGTTCGAGGTCTTGGAGGTGGCATTCGGTTTGGCCGACTTCACCAGGCACGACTGCGAGTTGTTGCCCATGCTGGAGCCATCCAAGCTGTCCAGGTCCAACGCCGTGTCTATCATCGTGTTGTCGTGCAGCATCCTCAGTCGCTCCGCCGACTTCACCTGCTCTGCTCCATCGCCCAGGGACTTTCTTTTCACATGACACGACGCACTAACCGGATCATCCAGGTCGAGATCATCGCAGAGCAGAGTGGAGGACAGCACATTGTTGGCCTGCTCCCTTTGCTCCAGCTGCTTGCGTTCATCAATGATGTTGGAGTACACATGCAAGGTGGAATCGGCTGCATCCGTATCATTGTCCACTGGCAGCACGTTGCTGTACATGTTCTCCGTTTTTCCGGTGATGGCAGCAGCTAATAGAGCTGCGCCCGCAGAGGGTTTACCGGAACTGCTTGCTGCTTCACCTCTGACATGGTTGTCGGCCAACGAGGAGTTGACCAGTGCCGCCTCGAAATCCGCATCGAAGAGATTGCTATAGCTTCCGCTGCGATTGCGCATTTCCCTTGCCTTATTGGAGGCTATGGCCGCGACGGCAGCCACCACTTCGGGACTGCCCACGACCACAACATCGGGATCATCCAACTCATCTTCGCTGCTGGCGGTGGCCAACTGATTCTCATAGCTAACAGTGCCGCCATTGGAAATCTGGCGCTGTTTGTGATGACGATGGCGGTACTGACGCGCCTGGGTGGCCGTTTGATGGGTATAAGCCGGGATGTCCATTTGGGCCAGCGGTATCTCATTGTCCACCAACTGAGCTAGACTATTGGAATTACCTGGAAACGATACGAAAAAAGGGGAAAAGGGCGCAGCGAAAGGCCGTGATTAGTAATTGGTATTTAATTTCATTCCTTTGTATGTTTAATTAATGCATGTATATAATTGAAATGCTCATTACAACAAATTTGCCAACTAATTTAAAATTCGAATTTCAATTTGGAGCATTTGTATCTAGTGGTTTTATTGCTCTTTTGCTAGTGGTCGTTGATGGTTTGTTTAGGTTCGGTTTCGTTTAGCTGTGGGAAAATAAAACTATTTAATATGCAAATATGCAAATAATCATAAATGCTGAAAAGGGCGGCAAATTAAAATCGTAATTCAATCAAATGGGGTTTTGTGTGTTAAATCGAACAAAAACACGTGTAATTGCAATCAGAATGGGTCTTGATCCGGAGGAACTGCCTCGGAACTGGGTGGAAATCAACTTAATTCGAAACCCATCAGTTGATAAGCTCCTAAACCAATAAACAACAATGATAACTTAAAACTGAATGACAAACGCCGTAGAGTGTGCGCAAATAAAGATGGAAATTGGACGCTAATTAATGGATAATGGATTCAGTGGTTAAGTCGGTGCCAATTGAACAATTTAAAGCATGCTTTCAAAATGTTTGGAGTGCAATTAGTAGGTGTACACAACTGTAGCTTGCCAATAAATTACTGCTGAATACCACATTAAACTTTGACTTTTGGTTTGTGTTAGATGGGAGTTTCTTTCGGATGGTGATGCTCTAGGTTTATGTTGGAAACGAATCGGCATGAGCAACTTAATAGAATATCAAACGAATATTATGTAATTCAGCTATTTCGCATAGGCGATTTAAGCAGCAGGAAAATAAACTCAAAGATATATGGTGTAGCTAATTTCAAACGAAACTCTAAAGCTTTGATTAATTTTCGATATTCGGTTATTTTATTTTGGTACATACAACAATCAAATGTTTTTGCATTAGGAGAGAACTCACCCAATTAAGGCTTAAAATGCATTTTTACTCTAGTCTTAAGCGGCCCTCGACAACTTTCGCTCAATTGCAGTTTTTGTTTGGGTTATTACGGTTTGGTTAGATTCACAAAATAGTTACAGACACAAATTTGTAAGTATTTAGTTTTTTTTTTTTCATCCCAGAGTCAAGTTGAAAGATACAGAAAGAGTTTGACATTAGTGTGCGATAAATCAGGAGGAGGGTTAGAGCTTTTTGGTGGATGTGTACGCGCTTTAGCCGGTCAAAACCAAAATCAGAGAACCTAAGGATAATGGAAAATGTAGAGGAGCGGAAAATCTGAATCCTTCATTTGGTGTCTATGTGTGTGCGTGATTCGGGGTTACATTTATGGTTCCAATAACATTTCAGGATCGTAAGTAGGCCTCACGATCTTCCTGAAAGGATGCGATACGCTTCAACATCGGGATTAGTACTTATAGATAGTTATAGATCTGCTTTCGATCCATTTTAAACATACGCTAGATACACTTTATTGCCCAACATTTAACCATACATATGTGTATATATAAGTACATATATAAATTTACGTTTTCATCAGTTAACACTCGCTTTCATATATATATTTTTATATATATATAATATATATAACTAGCTACAACTTCAATTATCTGGCTAATGCGTATTATACTTGCAATTAATTATAAAAGGAACCCATAATATTGTTAATGCTCAAGATTTAAAGCCTTGTAGGCGGCATTTGAGCCGCAATTATTTCTTTAAGCTGGCTTACAAGGATACCTAATACGCTTTACGATTTTCACCTCCACAAAAGTCCAGCAATCTAGTGCCCGAAAAATGTTTGTCTTTCAACTATTACAACTAGGTATAAATATTTGCAATTTCAATTTTCATTTCAATTTCAACGCATTGTTCGGTATATTGTTTATTGCTAATTATTTGCAGCAGTCACTTGGCAATGTTCCAATATTCAAGATTAAGACATATTCGATATTTGATATTCAATTCGTTTGCAACAATTTCTCGTATTCCACTATTAGTTTTAAAATGACACTCCCTTAACACTGATACATAGTTTATCAAATTCTTATTGAATTCCATGTTTAGTTTACGTTTATAATTAATTTTAATTTTCATTGTAAAAATGAAAAAAGTCCTAACAAAATGTTGCTTCGATAAATGGCAGTTATTTTGGCTCATTAAGTTTTTGGTTTCTGTTTATTTTGTTTTGCTAATTTTCCATTTCACTAATTGCAAGTTCAAGTTTTCGCTCATAATCTATGTTCGACTGAAACCTTCCAAATTAATCGAGAATTCAACTGAAGGCCCAAGTGACTGCGATCATTTACATAAATCTCACGAGGTTCCCAACAAAAAGCAAAATCATTAAGCACTTTACCAGGCGAACTAAGTCAAACATGCTTGGCTGGGGATGTTGGTTTACTGGTTTTTTGGATCTTTGGTTTTCTGGTTAGTAGGTTCTTTGGTTGCTTGGTTGTTTGGTTGCTTGGTTAGTTGGTTAGATGGTTAGTTGGTGTCTTCACTATTGGAGGTGGCGGCGCTGGGACGTAGACCAAGGTGGATACATACATACACGGGTGGCATTTAGCGGCCCCTGGCGCCGAGTCGCCCCTATTGCAAATGCATCTTGCAGCAGGAGGGATCCGACGCACCTAGCCTGGGAAGCAGGTGCTATATAAACGCAAAAGTTTCTATGAACCAAGTTTTTCGGGGGGAAACTGGAGCGGAGGGAAGTCTACAGCGGGGTTGGTGGTTTCAAACATTAAACACAAATCAAATACAAGTTCGACTTCTACAAAGGGTGCAAACACAAATTGAGATTCGGATACGGATGCGGATTTCAGGCTGCAAGAGGGTAGCAGTTTGCACTAACAACTATGCGCATTTTGGAAGCCAGGTGAGTCTCACAAATGTGCCACAATCAGACTGTGATAGATTCCCTCAAAGCTAAAATCAAGGCTGCAAACTTTTAAATTTATTCGCTCCGTTGGCTTGGCCCGAAGTTTCCACATTCAGTTGAGCAAAATATTTACTTGCAAATCGAAATCAAGGAATTCAGTTTGATAAATGTAAATATCAAAACGGGGTTAGCTGGTGGAACAAGGCACCTTTTAAACAAAATTACAGTGTTATCTGGTTTTAAACTTAAACTGACTCTTGTATCTTGTTGTGTATATCTTGTTCTATATAAAATAAGTTTTTAAAATAAATTTTAAGTAGCTGCAGCCCGAATTCGAAATTAACCCGAACCGTTTCAAAAAAGTTCGGCCAACAAATGGCTTGCAGCCTTGATTAAAATATATGTACATTGCAAACTAATCAAAAACTTATTCAAAGCCTAGTCAAGCCCTTATATTAAATCCTAAATGAACTCCTAGTTAAGCCATAATCGAAAAGCTGCTCTCGAGTCTAAAGCTAAACAGAGAAGACCCATAGAAGGGGGGCACATTCCGGAATCTGGACCCGATTTGGCGCCTTAGCAAAAGCGTGGAAGCATTAGGAATCGGGCTGGCCAGGGCCCGGCCTTATGTACAGCGCCCAACAACCGATCGAGGAGGATGGCCAGGAGACGGACAAGTCCACCGATGGGGTGATGGACGTGACCGTGGCCCAGGGCGGCGGAGCAGCGGACTGCTGCTGCGTACTATGACGAGTCACTGCCCGCCGCATCCTCGATGATCGAGTTGAGATCGATGTTAAACGAATACTCGTAGAGATTGGAGTAGCGGTCGCGCTCCTTCCACGGCGACCGGTGATTCATATAAAGATTTCGTTTACTAACACGAAAGATCTGGCTGTCCTTGATCGACTGATCGTCATCGCAGGGTTCACCGCCACCGCCAAAGTCGCACTCGCGAATCGTCAGCCGGTTGGTCGGCGATTTCAGTTCGAACATCACCTCCTGATGCTTGTAAGGTTTCCTCATCGGCAGCGGCTGATACCCGGCTATGTTAACCTTCTGCGAGTCCACCGACATGGTCGATTGCCGTCGCATTCCGCGTGCCGCCTTCGGGAACGGATAGTTCCGCATCAGATTGGAGTCGGTGCTGCGTTGCGGCGAATAGTATTTGAAATCCGTGGGCGCCGGCGCTTGTGGCGCCGTGGTGTGTATGGTGGTCAAGGTGCTGTTGCTGGCGGAGATCGCTCCGCTGGCCTGCAGCTGCAGCGTCGACGGGCGTCGTGGCGCCAGCGGCGGTGGAGCCGTGGCCAACGACACGGACACCGAAGTGGGTGCGGTGGTGGTGGTGGAGGAGGAGGAACCACCCGCACCAGTGCCGGTGCCGGTACCGGTATTGGTGCCGCTGGCGCCGGATGCCACCGCCGCCGCCGCTGCTGCCACCGTGCCAATGGCTGTGGTCTGCTGGGCGTGAACGTGGTGATGCAGCAGCGGGAGCGGCGAGTGGCGGACATCGTCGTACGACGGTGTCAGCGGCAGGTGCAGCGATCGCTTCAGGTTCAGCCGGTAGGAGGAGGACGTGGCCGGCGAGCGCAGGAGCGAGGGCGAGTTGGGACCCGGTCCTGGACCGCCCTCATGTTGCTGCAACTCGGCGGCCACCAAGTGCTGCTTCAGTTGCTTGTGTTTGTGTTTGCTGGCCTTGAATTGCTGCTGGGCACTGGCCGGCAGCAGGGTTTGCAGGGAGCAGCGCTGCTGGTGATGTTTGCGGGACTTACCGTTTTGGACCAGGTCGTAACTGGGCGGCGGATGGTCGAAGCCGTTGCCATGGCCATTCCCATGGCCATTGATGGCACCTCCGTTGCCCTCCAGTGTCGAGGAGGAGGGATTGGACTGGTTATCGTGGTCGTATTCGTGGTGTGATTGTGTCGATTGTGGTGTATGATTCGAGTAGTAGTAGTAGGTAGTAGTAGATTACCAAAAAGAACATTGCATAGAACACAAAAAGAAAAATTTGAATTACAGATCGTCAAAATGATGTGCATAAAAGAGTTCATCGTACGAGAGTTTTGATTTGATTTGGTTTGATTTGATATATATATAAATATATAAAGGAGATCAAGCAAGCAGTGTGCTCAGACATTTAGATATTTTTAGATTTCAGTGGTGAAAGGGTGCGCTTGGATTGGCTCAATGTGGCCGCTGGGTTGGCCGCTTACCTCGTCGTAGAATCGGGGCTTCAGCTCCGCCCCACCAATGCTGATCCCGCCGCCGGCACCACCGATACCACCACCCACCCCGCCCATCATGGGCTGCGAGGTGGTGACCATGTGCGAGGCACTCAGCACATCGCTCAGTGCGTGCCGCGGACTCGACTGGTGCTGCATCTGCTGGATGAACTCGTCGGTGGCGATGCCGCGTCTGCCAATCCAATTAGGTAATCCAATTAGCTTGTGTTCAGGTGCTCTGCCCACTGGCTACTTACCTATCGATCAGCGAGGGCGTCATGGGTCCGCACAGGATGTGACAGCAGTTCAGGCAGATGTTCCCCCGCGAATAGGGATTTTGGGTGCGGGGACCGCCTTTGGAGGAGAAGGATCCCTTGAGCTGGCGAAAGGAGCAGATTTAAAATGTTGTTTCCCAAGTATACACTAGATAATTTTAAACATTTTTGTGTATTGTGTATAATATTTGTGAGTTTTTGTACTGTAAGCGAGATTCTTAAACAAATATATTAAAAAATTAAGCTTTAATGGAAAATTTAAGACATAACTATGACACCGAGCTCTATGACTTATATTTATATAATATATGGGTATTTTCTACTTACATCCTCGTTGGTTGTCTGATCGCTAGTCGTCAGATACGTATGGAAGCCGGCCAGGCCGATCACCGACCATATCGAGAAGAAGCAAATGAACACAACAATCACAGTGAAGGGCGCCGCCTTGATTACATTAAAGACCTCGTGCTCCTTCTTCATCACTGCCGGTGTGTAAACAAATCATAATTCACATGCTACATGTCTCGGTTTTTCATTGTACTCACATAAAACTAAATGCGTCACAGAGCACGAGAATATAAATACAGCTAAAAATGCCAATGAGACTAGAAACAAGTAAAAGAACCGATAATTCCGCTTGCCCACGCAGTTTCCCACCTGCAAAGAGAGCATTTAAATGGGTTATAAACACACTGAAGGCGTAATGAAGTTGGTAAGATATCTTCTACGAGCCCCCCAAACATAATAAGGTTAATTGCATTTTCACGAGATGTGTGGCATTACCAAAATTACGACCGAGAAATGCCTTAATTTCCAGCACCCTCCAGTCCTCCTCCTGGCCGCCAACCAACCCTTTTTGAAGCCGCGAACAGTGAACCAAATCCCCAAAAGGCTCGAGTCGACCTTCAAGCCGTCAGATGCGATTGTGTCCGTACTTTCTCTCCTCCGGGGGTTTAAATTACGCCGGAGCCCCGTAAATGAAGTGGGGCGATGGCAAAGGCATGACAGCAACACTAACTGGGAGAGACTTTGAAATCTAGTATACCGAGTAATTTACACCCTTTCACTAAGACCTCTACTTATACTTATTTAACTTTATAATATCTGTAAGTAGAAAACTATTTTCCTTTACATAGATATCTAATGAAAATATGATTTTCTTTGACGGCAATTATAGTATATCAAAGAATGTCAGAAGTGCTCGGAAAAGTGGCAGCCTAAGTCGAAATGATTGCTCAACTTGGTGTAAATATTTAATCATTTAACTGACCTTCCTCAAGCTAAATTGATTGTGAATTGCGAAAGCTAAAATCAAGGTGAATGGAATTTTAAAATCCATATCACCGTGGGAAATGAAATATGAAGACAAAGCAATCAATTAGGCAAGCAAATAGTAAATGGGTTATCTTTAGGCTTAAAAATACAAAAGGTGGGCAAACAAAGCACTCAATTAGTGAATATGAATATTTGAAAAGCTTGGGAGTATTGGAAACCCGAGTTGAAAGTTAAGTACATTCATCCGTAAGGGTATGTGCGATGATTCCAGTCTCTAGGGTATGTGGCGTTCCCATCCCAAAATGTATGCTACACCCCCAAAAAACAGAACCACAGAAATATGAGTGTGGCTACTTAAGTTAGTGTGTGCATGGGTGTGTGTTTGTGCAAGTGTGGTTTGTTTGCTTGGTCCTGTCCAAACACACACACACACACACACACACACACTCATATAGACACAGAGGGAGCCACATCTTGTTGCATCAGCGCGTGGCTGGCGGGTATAAAAAAGAGGAGAAGCAAAGGATTCCGAGGGAGAGCGTCCGAGTGCGCTTTTTTTTAAACGTGACGTGCGCTCGGCTGAAATTATTTTTGCTAAAAAATTAGCAACCTCAGCGGTTGCCGTTGGAATTGGGTTAAAGTCAGAGACGACGAGAGGCTGTTGGTTTTGTGGCCCACTTTTCGCCAGAGCCTCTAATGCGGCTCTCGGCTCAATGTCAGTTGGCCAAACTGGGGGGCAGGACGATGATGAGGAACGGGTGCTTTGGGGACAGCCAGCAAGCAGGCTTGCTGGTTTGCTGGGTTTGCTGGGAAGTGATTAAAAATGTGCCACCGCTAACGAGGTGCCGGCTGTCCTTGTCAAGGACCCACTCGGCAAACGACTACCATCAGCAGCAGCCATCACCCGCCATTACCACCAATGCCACCACTACCATCACTACTCACCCAGGGACAGTGGTGATCGAAGCGGTCCACGCAGTTGTCGCACAGGCTGCAGTGCGAGGCCCTCGGCGGCCGGAAGATCTTGCAGGTGAAGCAGTATTTCAGCTTGACCGTTTGTCCTTTGACCAGGACCTCCTTGGTCCTCGGCGGCGGTCGATATGTGGGACTGTTCAGCGAGTTTGGCACCTCTACTCATGGCGATTTGGGTTATCCACACACGTACATGTTCCAGGATTTATCCAGAGCGACGCAGAGGAAATGCAGCATCAGCAACATCGACGTTGTTGACATGCAAGTGAAAAACGAAAAACAAAAATGGGGGAAAGGGCAAAAGTTTTCTCATTTTAAATATTTTATACAAAGGCAACAACAGCAACTCATTAGTGCAAAGGCAACGCAGCGTTCGCCTTTGATGATTTTTATACGGAACATATATATTTTCCCATTTTTTTTAGCGCTTTTTTCGTTCTATGTCATGCCACGCTCATTACTTTTTACGTTCCTCCCATTTGCTCTCGCACACACACACACTCACACACAAACTTAATGAAGTGAAAACAAATATATACGCAAGTGTTGTCTGTGTGTGTGTGCTTGAGTGGGCGAGTGTTTGGCAAGGAGGGGGGCGTGGCAGATGGAGAAGGATATTCAGGCAACAGGCAGCAGCAGGCAACGACCTTGGCCACGTTTCCTTTTGGATGGACGCGAGGACTTCGACTGCGATTGCCATTGGTATTGCTATTGCTATCGCGGGACTACGGGGCGGATGAGTAACGTACCAATTTGCTTTTCAATATAGGCGGCCTCATCGTTGGAGGCTCGCGGTATGACGCCCGGATCCGTGAAGGTTGTGCGCAGCAAGGAGCTCATCGTGAAGAAGTATAGTACCGCTCCCACAATCGGAATGGCTGGATTTATGCTGTCCGCCAGGAAGGGACAGCTGAAAGAAGGACGAGGAACAGAGAAATATATCATTAATCTAACGATGTTTCTGTCATTATGGTTTGTGGCAACATCTTGATTCGACCAGATTGTTTCAGCAAATGGAGTAATAAACTAGGGGCATCACAATAAAATAAACTAAGTAAACTTGGCGATAATATGGGCATAGTCGAATTATTACTATATTATTAGGGGCTTCCTTAAAAAACTCTAATGACTATATTGAGCAAATAAAATAATGAAGTAAAATCTTGGTCTAATTAAGAACACTGTTCTTAGAAAGCAATACGAAGTCTAAAAGTAGCAACTCAGCTCTTTGAAATGGCTTTAATCCTCTGCTTGAACACAGCATAACTAGAAAGGTTTTCAAAGCTACTGAGCCTGGGATTCTGTCTCAGCTGCGTTCACGTCCTGCTCGGAAAGCACCCATTGAAATTAGATTCCCTGAATCTCCGACTTCCCTGGCATCCAGTGCATGCAGTGCATCCAAACGCCAAAATGCAGGCAGCGCTTGCCATTGGATTTACTGCAGCATTTGGTGGGCGACGAGTGTGGCATGCCCTGCTCAAAAATGCATGCAAATGGAGATTTGCATCCCCGGTGATTTGGCAATGCCCCAAATGTGTGGAAAGGCCCGAGCAAATATGGCCCCAAATTGGGGCGGACTATCCATCCCAGCGGAGATAGCTGCGATGCGAAGGATGTGACGGATGCGAAGGACTAGCAGCTGGGGGATAGGACAATGTTCAGCTCGGCATTGTTACTTAATGCCCGTTGCGTGCCAACGATTTGCGAATAGCAAAAGTCGCCGCATTCACCACTCGCAGGAGCAACTTTCACTCGCCAACAATTCACAAAGGACCCGAGTGCTCAGTGACAATTAAGTGTGACAAGTCCCAGATGGACGTGGATGTGCGAGTACGTAGTTTGCCTCATTTTGGGAGCAGTCAGCATAGCCAACCGAAAATAGTTAAATACATTTGTCATGACAACGCCGATTTCGCCCAACGCTCCATGCCCCCAGCCATAAAAGTAAGGCTTAAATAGGAATGCATTCAAAAAATGCTTTTCTCGCATTCAACTGGCAAATCGCTGACAATGCCATAGAAAATAAAATAGAAATGGGAAATACGAAGGAGGGCCCCTCATGCATTGTGTGCTACCTTTTAGCGATTTGCATTGCCGGGGAGCGTCGAACGAAACACAATTTGAGTTTGGCCCACACATCCCCAGGCTGCTACATGCAAAAAAATAATATATATATGTTTTGGATGCACATATATATGAGTGCAATCAGATTTTGGGTCCATTTAATTTAGGGATAGATAAATTTGTACGTACAAATTAAGGCCTGGGGCGCTTTGTGTTTTTGTAAATTTTTTGTTGCGGTTTAATTATATTTGATTCCATTTTGGAATAGATAAACTTCAAATGGCAAACCAAAAAAAATCTAAAAATATTTTACTTGTAGTTCAATCAATTCAAATTGTATTTTAACCGGCTTGTTGGTTGGTAATTTTATAAAAATAACTCGACTTTAGTCTAGTCCAGTCCTTAGCTTTAGCCTGATAGCTTAATACATGATTAGTTACTAAACTTAAGCTAGTTAGGTCGATTCCGTATTATCAGAACTCGATCCGAAAATAAATTCCTGAAGCTTTCAGGCGTACATGTCTTAAGCCAACTGCAGGATTTTGAATTAATATTCAGCCTGTTATCAAACAATTCCGGTTAGATATTCCTATTTTTTCGGGTGCATTCGTAGGACATGTGCGCGTATCTGCAGGAATATCTATGAGAGCACTCAAAGGCATTGCAGATATTGTAATGCCCATCCATACTGGGGCGCCTTCCACTCGACTGTGCGCTAATGTAAAGCAAGCAATGAAAGTAAAATCGCGCTGCAACCGCTTTTCAGAAGCGAATAAATTTGGAGCGCATAAATGGAGGAGCTGGAGGTGCAGCTGGATATGTAGGAGGTGCATGCATACATATATGGATCCTAGGCATGGGAATTTCAATTTCTTTTGTGGGAAACACAGCACCTCCGCACATGTAATTCCTTTCTGGGCTGCTGAAATGATTTCGTGCAGAAAATGTTGAGCATAATTTCGTCTAATCGCACTTTCCGTGGCGAATGGGTGGGTTGCAACTTTAACGTTGCGTTCTACTTGTATTTGCACTACGTGTCGTATGCGTTATTTTGGCCAGTCTACGGAAAAATGAGGGTGGATGCGCCCATGTGAAACCAAATTGAATCTAGTTAAACGTTTGTGGGCTGTGGGTGTTCCAGATGCTCATGCCGCTTAGATATTTATTTAGTTGCTATACCACCCAAATCGATTGTACGTTTGAATTATTATTGGAGCAACGTGATAGTAGCGACCGAATACAATATTCCTGGAAATTTATGGTTTGCTTTATTTCACTGTGCTGTCCCACATAAGAAAACCATTCAGAAATATATAAAGTCGTTTGACTACTTATCGTCACAAAGAAGAAAGTCTTTGTTGACCATATTTAGTTCTTACCAAGATAAATCACAAAGCAGCTTAGATAAGAGGGTACGCAGAGGTCGGTTTTTCCATATCTAAATGAAATATTAATATTTCACAAACTTTAATTTACAACCATTAAACGCCAACATTAGAGTTTAATAGCGGAAAAGTTTTGCAACCGGAAATAGAAATGTGTCCCGGATGAACGAGTCTGAAATGAAAATTCAGTTTTAAACTAAACCCAGGGAGCGGGGATAATTTTCCCGTGGTTTTCCATGTCCGACCCACTGACCAGTAGCCTGAACACATTTGAATGCCGGACAACCATCGGATTGACAAATCAAAAGCTGAAACTATTTAACCACGCTTTTTATGCGGATACACACGGATACCCGTAATTCAACGGATTCAACCGGGTCAGAGACATCTAGCTGAAGAAGCAGCAGTTGGATAGCGATGTCCTTTGCCAGCCCAAGCATAACGCATACGCCACGTTGCACAGCAATAATTACATGCCATTGGATACGGAGACGGACAGCAGAAGGCAGACAACGGTCGGGAATGAGAAACCGGATGAGAAACCCGTTGATACTGATGAAACCAGAGCAAGAGTCCAAAGTCAGAGACCATTAATGTGGGCGTAATTGGAAATCAAGCATGACCCGGTGGAATGGAGTCGGTGGCCACGGGTATCGTCTATCCTGTGCCCTCCGGAAAGGGTTACTGGGCAATGCTTAATTAGCAACGTATACATTTTGCACACAATGCATCCAAAGGGAGGCCAACTGCGCCCTGGCACTTAAACGGGCACACAGAGAGAAACTCTAGTTCCTTAAATTATATATTATATTAATTGTGTATATCATACCTACTCTATAATTATTGTCTGAAATTATTTGACGACTGTGAATGAGTGCGTACAAGTAAGAGGGAGAAATAAGGCTAATTGATTTATCTTATCTTATGTTGCTTTATCGCTATACCTATATATATATACCCGTTAAGAGCTCAAATTAATTGAATAAAAACATCCAATATATGTTTTATAGGATTTTCCCACTGTACTGACAATTCGTTTTCCCACTGTACTGACAAATGGCTGAAATGAGCACGGGGCGTATACTCACTCGAAGGCAAAGAAGAGCGCACTGGTGCCGGTAATCAGGATGCACGTCAAGTAGAAGACGCCTGTGTGCGGTGCGGACATTAGCAATCCATCGCAGTAGAATTTATTGCGTCCGGCAAACAGTTCCCATTTGCGTGTGACTCGCTGGTTTGGTGCCATGTTACTGCAACAACAGCAGCACAGCAGATTCATTGGGGCGGTCCTGGCAAATGGGGATTAAGTTTTGGATGGGATGTGATGCTATGCCAGGTCCTGCTGCTCCGCCTGCTCCTGCTGGTGGTTTCTGACTCTGATACTTTTCCTTTGCTGACAACAATCGCTGACTGTGACAGCGATGCCTTTCCTGCCTCTGCTGCTGCTGCTCCTGCTGCTGATGATGATGATGGTGTGGGCCGGGCTGGGGATTCGGGTTTTGGGCTTTGGGATCCTGGGGAATGGTGGGTTATGCGCTGGCGACGACAGTTCAAACGGCTGCCGTTGACGAAATTATGCTGTTTTCCTGGGGTCCCAACCGACGACGCCCCCCTTCACTCCGCACCTCCTCGTGTCACAGGGACGTGTTCATGTGTGGCTGTTGCAATGCCTGCGGCACGCAAAACCGACTTCCACAAGATGTCTCCTGCTGCTCCCGATCCTGTTCCCAATCTCCTACGAGTTTCATGCACACCGGGCGGCTGCTTGAAATATACGCTTAAAGTTTAGTATGCTTTATTTCGTAGCTAATATTTCAGTCAGTCGTCGTTCGTTTGTTAGTTGCGAATTGAAGGCGAATGTTCAGGTGAATTTAATCAAAATTAATGCCTTCCCCGCTGCTGCCGCTACCTCCAGTGCTATCCACCTCCAGTGGTATCCTGTACTGTTCCAAAAGCAATTTCGTCCACTTTGTTGCGTTGTCCACGGTCCGCGGCATCAGCCACATTGCGTTTCAGTTTCCTCCTTTTATTGCAGCGCACACTTTCGGGCCTCACGCCCACACGCCCACGTGCCGGCTTTAATTAAAGCAGGACGGCTGTCATTTCCCTGCAGCCGCCTTCTTGTGCCCGTGCAGCTGCCACTCCCCTTTTTCCACCCACCGGAAATGGGTTTGGGTGGTGGACTGAATGGGGGATTGGGGGGAGACCGCGTTCAGTGCACACACACCCACACACTATACGGCAATTATTTGCTCGGCTTTGTTGATCCTGAATTCTGGATCCTTTTGGGTGGCCCGTCCGTGTCCTTTATGATTCAATTATTCGCTATTCGCTGCTGGCGCCACCAACAGTAGTTAAAATTGGCGTCGAATTGGTTTGGCTGGTTCTAGTCCTGTTTGAGTGGGTCAGTCCTGAAATGGTAAAGAGAAGGAGAGAAACTTGTGAAAGGAGTGAGCAACTGTGGAATTGCAAGCAAATGTAATCATTAAGTTATTTTGATTAAGAACTTTTGTGCGGGCGCCGACAAGCGAAAAGGAGAAACTTCTCATCTCTTCCAGGGATTTCTTTATTGCCACTTTTTTTTTTATCGAATTTTAATCGCATTGCCTGAGAATTGTAAGTTGGCTAAAAGAGCGAGAGCGTCCGCAATGGGCCAATTCATAAAATGAATTTTTATCACTTTTTAATGCCAACACAATCGAGTTGTTATAACTTGCTGATAAATTTTCATTCCTAATTTCCCAGGGAAGTTTAACGAAGTTAAGCCAAACAGTTGTGGTCACTGCTTTATTACATTTTGGTTTGGAAAGTTCTCTTTTTGCAGCACACAGCTTAAATGGCTGAGTGAGACACTTAATAAATTTTAATTAAAGTAGGTTCTTACACATTCTTAGCGGTTGTCATTGATTGAGTAATGTGACTAATTAATTCGAATTAATGGTAACTTGTTTTTGTTTGCGCTGAATACAAATCAAGGAGGTACATTTGAAATGTGTAGGTTTGACATATAATTGATTTAAATGCAAACATCTAACTTACCACCTAAACATTAAAGGCTTCCCCAATTTAAAGCGATCATAGTGCATACTTGTTTTATTCAAGACCGCTCGCTAAATTTGAAATTCGCAGCGAACATAAATCCAGATCGTTTCTTATTTATGGGCTCGGCATAAACCGACTAAAGGATTAAATCACGGATTATTAACAGCCGAAATGCGCTAATTTGCGGTTTTATGCGAGACGACTACTGTTGGCTAATTGGCGCTAATCAAGTTAAGCATACGCACTGTATGCCGCCCCTGCGACAGCAAGTTGTTACTCCTCTTTGGCTGCACAGCATGGTAACTTTATGTTTCTGTGTGTGTTGCAACATGGTTCTGGAACCCAGAACCCGTTATCTAAGGCAAACAGGCGCACTTTGGGGGCAATAAACCAGCAGCAGCAGCACAAACACAAGCACAGGCTCACAAGAGCCTCCCGAAAACGAGTGAATGGCTTTTGCATTTGCAATTTGCGTTAATTGGGCACACGCCGCCCCATTTAAAGGAACGCGGTTCGCAGATGTTGCCTATTTCGGCCTGCTCGGGCGGTGCAAATGTTTATGCAAATTGTGTTGCAATTATAGCGCCACCGAATGCTCTAATATATACTGACTGCGATTATTTGCATACATTTTGCTGGGAAGGGAATGGTATGGCATGGTATGGACTGGTAGGCTTCCCCCCAATTAACATTAACAGCAGCTGATGACATGCGCCAAGAAGTGCCAATTAAAGGCACACAAGCGTGTGTTCAATAAACTCATAAATTGCCTGAAATGACGCACAGTGCCAGCAACAATGACTACACCAACGGCATAAAACAATAACCATAAAGTAGCGACAGCAAAAACAAAACACAAGAGCCAACTTTGAAGTGTGCCACTCAGCGCAAATATGTAAATAAATGGCCACTTACGGCAATTCAATAGAGAGTGTGGCTCGGCAAAAGAGTGAAAGTGAAAGAGCCTTTGGTAAGTGTAATATATATTATCAATCTGCAAACAAAACAAAGCCAAGCATGTGTTGGTATTAATAAAATGCAGCGGCACATTCAAGGCACATTCTATCACTTTCATCACCTCGCTGGAATGTTCTTAGTTTATAAAGAATTCATGAATTCAGTATGCTGGAAAATAATAGCAAAGATTTCTACAAAATACTTTCTTCATTGCTATAAGTAGTAAAATATTCAATTTAACTTAAGCCAACTATGGGTTTCCCATAGATCAGTCATTTAATGGAACCAAAATAACATAAATTCTTGAACTTGTTCTTGAAATCCTTCCGCATAAACAGCACAGCACTCACACTTATTTGCCGGACGTGAGTGAGTGAGTGAGCGAGTGAACCAGAAATACCTAACCGACACTTGGCATTGTAATTGTAGGCTGCGGTTGCGTATACGTATTTTGTAATACATCAAATCCTTGAACACCAGTGCTCTTGACGCTACCCCGCTTCACCCCTTCCTCACCCCGCCTTCACCGTAGCCACAACTGCCACTATCACACCCACCACCACCCACTGAAACCAACCACTTCGGCCCACTCACCCACACTCTCACTATCGTTACTCATACGCATGCATGGCGAGCACACTTAACATTCAAGAGGGGCGGAGGGGGCGTGGCAAGTACTCCGCCAGCCATGCGTGCACCGCGGTGCTACACGGAAAGGAAAACTACAAACTAAATGTGGCAGTTTTTGAAACAGGTATTTTTTCAATTATAGCGACATTTGTAAACTTGCATTGAAAGATTCAGAAAAACTACAAATTGAGCTCAAATTGTATTTTTAACGTAATCCTTTTCTCTCAGTGCAGGCTTAAGTCGAGCCCCTGGCTGTCCCCCCTGAAAGGCGGCTCAGTTCGACTCAACTCGACTGGGATCATTCATTTACGCAAAAGCCCCGCTTGCATTCGCACTCGCCCACTCGTTCAGCAAACAAGCAAACAAACAAACAAACGAACAAACCAGCAGACACATTCTCACAGGCATGAGTACCGGACTGCATATGAATAGTGAGTGGAGTGAGTGTGTGTGAAGAGATCTTGTGCGTATTTGAAGTCGGTTTGGTTACTTTGGCTTACTCCGGAGGATGGCGACGGGTCCAGATTAGGAAAGTCTCTGGATGCGGATTAACATCAGGTGAGTGAGTGCTGCTATGTTATATTCGAATTTTAAATATATATTGACGGATTTTTCAATGATAATTAGAGTATTAGAGTCTGAAACATTTTCATACAGATCTCATTCATAACGTTCTCATTTAAAATTTGGTCGAAATCAATTGAGCAAATAGCTGAACCAATTTCGGTTTGTTTTATCATGAAAACCAGTTCACCACTTTCCGACATTGCAACAAGCAGAAACCCAAATTTTGTAACTAATAACACAGATGTTAGTTTACTCCCGTGCTGACCTGGAAACTTTCAATTAAATATAATGTTATAGCCATAATTTCCAACTCATATTCCAATTAGTGTTGATTTCAAAAGAGCGGCCAGCTGAGTAATAACAATCGGCGATGCTCGACAATGTCGTTCAACCTACTCTTTCAAATGCCAATACAATTTAATGGTTTTAAACAACCGCCCAACTAATAGACCACATATATGGTGCTGTAGAGCATAGGGGAAACACACACAAACACATTTTCTCGGCATTGCCGTTACAGCTACACGAACATTTCCTCAAACATCCGACATGGCGTCCATTTCCGTTATGGCAACAAAGCAACGCACGCACACATGCAAGGCACAGAAATGTGTGTGTGTGAGTGTGTCCTGTTTGCCTTAGCGTTTCCCTTTGCCGCTGTTCGTGTAATTGCTGCCGTCACATTTACAGTCGCCGACGCCGCCGAGGCCGTCAAGTCGCCGTCGCTGTGACAGTCAAACCAAAAGTCGCCATCAACGATTGCTCCCCGATTCTCCAACATTTTATTCCAGGCACTCAGAGAAAAGACAGAAAAAAAAGACAACAGAAAAGACTCCTAATTCGAAATTGGCACCGATTTTCATTAAAAAAAAAAACTAATTTAATATAATTAAACATGATTTTAGAGCCTTCTGATTTCTGGTATAAAAATTCTGGTTTTAAATCAATTTTTTATTTGCTTATTATTAATACAAGTTAAGAAGACTTAAATTGTTCATTGATGTAAAGGTGTTTTTCAGAGGTTTCAAAACTTCATTGACTTCAGGTAAATATTTTCTTTCTGTGCACCCAGCACCCAGAGTAGCAAACATTCGAACAGCAAAACTATCGTCACCATTGTCGTCGGAATGTGAGTTTTATACGTTGCTTGTGTCGGTAACTGTTGTTAATCTTTGCTCATTGTTTTGGTTTAATTTATAAATTCCTCTCCATTTGGCAGATGCCAACTTTTGTTTTCCTATTTGCCATTCGCTGGGGCTTTTGTATATTTTTGTATGCTTTCGCTTCGTTGTTTGGTTTCCCTCTCTGATTCTGTTTCTGTTCCTGTTTTAGTTTCCATTTCTATTTCTATTCCCATTTTCATTTCCATTTCCATTTTTATTTGTATTTATCTATTTTTGCTTCAGGTTGAGCTCTGTTCTGGGGTTTGTTTTCATTTGGTTACTGTGTGCAGAAACTTTTCAACTATTTCTGCTGATGAACTGAGTCAGCATTTGATTTTTATTTGTGGAAAGTCGACTTGGATGCGACCACCGTCCACTGCAGCGGGCAGAATTAATTGTCGTTTGCTTTGCCATTTGCCATGTTTGCACAGATGCAGTGCAGCAGTCCGTGGGGCGATTATAATTTGCACAGTTTGAACTAAGCCACAACCTAGCCCAGTATGACAATTATTATGACAATCACTTGGCAAAAGTGTTGGCAAAAGTTATTGTAAAACTGTTGCCCTACAAAACATCTACGAAACAATTTGCAAAGTGGTCAGCAATTGCAACACGTTATGTCCATTTAAAGGTTTTTAATATTTTTAATTCACTTCCAAAATTCACAAAACGATGTTTTTGTTTTGTTATCTGTGTATATTGTCATTATTTAACTTCATATATTTATAGTTGTTTATAATATAATGGGTCAGGTAGAGATTCCCTATGACTTTCTTTATTGATTTATTAAAATTTATAAAGTTACCCTATCCTAAGAAATGTTATTTATGATCGACTTTTTAAACTACAAAGATTCCATAATCATGATTTTAGTGCACAATTTGCTATTTATAATCCGAAGGAAATATTGATCCAAGCAAATAAAAAATACTTTATCCATGTGAGCATAATGGGGCAGGTCCCGATTACAGATAACAGATTCTTTATGACCCCACCAATAGAAAGGAAAACAAGGCAGTTCCTTGAGGAAAACATATTTGCCACCCGCATTC